TGTTTCATGATCCAGTAACTGGTCAAGATGGTCATACATATGAGCGAGATGCAATTACAGTATGGCTCACGGAACATGGTACGAGTCCAATGACACGTGAACCAATGGCTATCGATTCGTTACGACCAAATCATGCTGTCAAAAAATTAATCGATGAATTCAGATCATTGTCATCACGAAAAGATTTCTTGTTCAAACTTGGTATTGATATAAGGAGAACAGAAAGACGACCAATTTTTCAAACACCTGGTAAAATAATCTATAAAGCTGAATGGATATCAAAACCTGGCCCTGCTGTTGTTCTAATCAACATTGAAGGCGCTAAAGCAGATCGAGAAGCGTCATATTATGTTAAACTTGGTTGTCATCCTCATATTGTACATACATATGGTATGGTTAAAAATGATTATAATTCTCTTATGCTTGTACAAGAATATGCAAACGAAGGCAACCTTGGACAACTTTTAAAAGAATACGAATTTCGACCATCACAGCCAGTTTTATTAGAAATATTTTTACAAATTATCGATGCAATGATGTATCTTGCTAATTATGGTATTGTTCATGGTGACTTAGCTTGTCGTAATATACTTGTTTTTCGATTCAATGATGCTGATCCTCAAGAAAATTTCGTCAAGTTGACCGATTTCGGTTTAACACGTGCCAGTACATTGTATTCCGTTGTTAGTAGTACAACATCGACCAAGTTTGTAGTCGTTCCTCTGAGATATGCTGCACCTGAAATTCTTCAAAGTGCAGGCTTATCAAATTATTCTGAAAAATCAGATGTGTATTCAATGGGCATTTTGATGTGGGAAGCTTGTTCACAAGGGCAATTACCATATGCATCAATTGAAAATGATGATGAAGTTCGTCAACATAAACTCAATGGAGAAATCCTAAGTCAACCTGACAATTGTAATGAAGGATTATGGAACATAATTGTTCGTTGTTGGCATCTACAATCAAAAGCTCGTCCAACATTTAAAATGTTGAAGCAATCATTGTTGGAACTACAAATACAGCTAACAGCTAGGTATACTCTTAGAATACTTTAATCTTCTTTATTTTATTCATGACTATGTAATATCATTATCTAGTTCCAATAGACTCGAAAACAACAGCATACAAAATACAATGGTATGCTGAATCAAAATTTATTATTTTTTTTGAGAAAATAGTTGCAATACAAAAAATTGAGTATTCTAAAACCTCTGAAGTGAAAAATAATATTGACAACAATGCTAAATGATCACAGCTAGGACACTGGAGAAAATATAGTTTGTCATGTTTAACATTTTCTCTTCATTAAAATGATACTACATTATTATTTGTAATTGAAAAGACAAGATTTCGACACATTGCTTATTCTTAAGTAACGGGTGATGCAACAGTTCTTGGAAAAATGTTTCCAAAAGGACGATAACTTCTAACCCTTTTGCCATATATCCTATTTTAGCATCCACATACTTCGAGAATAGTCTGCTCTAAAAACTTACGAAGTCAAAATCATTCTAGCAAACCACATAGTAATTTTACACTTTTTGGAAAGTACCATCTTTCTCTTTTTATAGACTAATTTGTTTTGCCCTTCAAAGATGTGTTTGGTATGCGAACGTCAAAACTTATAAAAACAATTGAACTTATATTAGAAAGCTCGTCAAATGTAGATTCTCAATGGCTATTTTTGAATTTTCCGAAACATGTTTTAGCAGACGAAAAATGAAGTAACATTTGTACAAAGACTTTTGCATTACTCAATGTTTCTAGACTGAATATTTTTGTGGGTCAATGGTGTACTCACTGCTTGACGAGCAGCGGCGGTAAAAAGTTTTTGAACATACAGTGAGAAAGCTCTTCAAATGTGAATTTCAAATAACTTTTTTAAATTTTACTATAACGTGTTTCAGAACAAGAAAAATGGACAGACATTTTTCCAGGAACTTTTGCATCACCCGTTATATTTAATCAATATAGTAAAATCACATCTCATTGAAGGATTAAGCACTTTAACATTATAGTTAGGAGAAATCGCATTTACGTATCAAATACAGAATCTTTCAGTGTCTTGCAAAAAGCAGAATGTTTGACAATAAACGTCATACAGACATAATCTCTTACTTCCTGAACTGAAAGGATAGAATCTAGAAAATAGAGAGGCGTGAGCGTAGGGATCTGCAAGATTGCCTCGGTAGTTTTTTTTACAGAGAACTAGACTAGGCTTCGCAGTTTAATATTTATTATTCTTTTATGATCAGAGATCTAAAAACAAGAGTTCTTTAGCAATCTCGATAAAGATTCTTAAGTGATGTTAATTTTGACTTAAAGAATCGAAATTTAACAATAACTTCCCTGGCTTTTCTTCGGTATGTGGACCATGATATACAGTCAATGCATCACTTTTATCTGAGATCAGAACCTAGATCAGATAAAAAATTTAACTGGGATCGTGACCGAGACTAGAAAAGCTTTCATTGGGACCGAACCAGCACTGGTGTAACGTTTCCGATCAAGTACATTGTATGCATGATGTTTGTCCTCTTCGTACCATTTCTTCTGATCTTATGTATTGTCCTTATCTATCTGTCCTTACTTTGTACATCATGTGGTACTCTATCCCTATCCTATTTTGTCCTTATTATCCTTTCCTTTCATATTTCTCTCTTCTCTATGACGATTGCGTATATAAGCGTATGCTTTGTATGTAAATGGTGCGATTCTTGATAAGAAGAAACATAATAAAGCGCAGTACCATCAGCGCTAATACTTCTTCTATCCAATAATCGTCACAACCGGGACTAAAAAAATTATTTTGCAGGTTCCTATGTGGGTGTGGGTGTTTTCGAAGAGAAGACTCACAGTCATCCATACCCCCCACGCCTAAATTGGATCACAAAGAGATTGGTGACAGAGAGAGCAGGCAGCTTCAGAAGCAAGTCATGCATCATCGTACCTAAAAACCACTCGTGTAGATATCAGTCAATCTCTTTTAGTGACTACGAAAACTTCTAGAACAGTGCGGGGTTTGCGTACGGAGCAGAAAAACGTCGCAGAAAGCTAATTAGTCTTATTGAGTACTGGCGAAAATCTTAGAATAATAGATAAATATATTAACGCAATAGAAAAATTGTTCAGAGAGTCAATCAATGGTTCAGGTTAGTGGCAAAAATCATTGTGCTACAGAGCGATGTCTTTGGATGACGATAAAAGCTTTCGCATTACAGATGACTTTCTGAGAGCAAGAGCACAGAACTTCAAAGGACTATTATCTATGTAAGCAGCGATCGAAGCCTTCAGCATTAGAAAAATGATTATGAGCGAATGGAAAAGCTGTCTGATTACACAATAATGTTTTGCACGTAGTGAGACATTTCCAGAGAACCCATTAATCTGTAAGGTGCCTAAGAAAAGCTTCAAGGTAGTGACTTACACCTCTGGGTCACTGAAAATAGTTTTCTACCTCAATGGAATTGACACAAAGAAAATCAAAAAGCTTCAGAAGCCAACTACATTTGAAAACAGCGACAAAAAGTTTCAGGCTAATAACCAATGACTATGAAGAACAGTGACAACTTTAGCAACACATAGAGTCCGTGAGAGGGAGAGCAAAAAGCTTCTGAAGCGAGCCATACGTTAACGAAGCATCATGAAATTTTAGGCTACTTTCTATTGTCTCAAACGAGGGAGGTCTTCGAACTGTTCCTTGACTTATAGCTCACATTTTCCCACAAGCAAAACACAATATGATTAGTCAAAGCCTATAAGGATTCAGGTCCATGGACAATTGAAGCCGATTTATGACCATTTCATTGGGTTTTCGATTTCAGATAAGGGATTCTTGGAAAATCGAAGGATGGTACTTTGACTTGAAACTTTCCCCATAAAAAACGTCACATGGTTAGTAGAATGTCCTAAAAGTTTCGGCCAAAACGAAAACTTTAGCCTTAGAATACAGAGTTTTCAAAGGTGTTCACTTTTCTGTTTTTTTCTCTAGCACCTGATCGCTTTATAACCATCCAATATCCTAAGAAGAATGCAATCGTTTTGACTGAATTTCTTAGGACATTCTAACAACGATGAGGTCTTTTTATAGGTAAAATTTTAGATTAAAGTTCAGTCGTCTCATTTTTACATGACTGCTTCGATGAAAATCGAAAATCAAGTGAAATGGTCATAAGTTGGTTTCAACAGCCCATCGGTCCAAATTCTTTTAGGCTTAGGCTATAGACATTGAAATCTACTTGTTGCAAAAATATGAGCTCTAAGTTGAGGAAACACTTGCTACTACTCTCGTGAGTCACGGAGGAAATTTTCAAACTACAGAGTAATTCGTGAAAGAAACAAAAAAGAGTTTCCCAAATCTGCCCCAGATGCAAGTAGCGGGAAAAACTTAATCCTTTGATGAATATCAGTGAGTGAGAACGAAAGCGTCTTCATCCCTGATAAGTATTTAGTAGGAACAGCAAAATTATCAGGAGATTGATCAAGACGTTAGTCGCCCAGAAAAGCTTCTGGTACTAACTCATCTCCTTCGAAGATGGCGAAAAATTTCTGATCTCAAAACGATTGATGAGAGGTAGAGCGCAAAGTCGCAGCAGAATGGTTCTAGGTGGGTGAGGTATGGGCACCGATTGTTGAGTTTTGTCTTCACATGTATCAATATCCATAGCCAACTTTCTTGAATAACACATGTAGTGATACTGCTAAATAAAGGAGTAACACTGAAAACAGCCATGTAGTCAGAAATGTTCAGTGGGCTCATCGTGGGAAATGTAAGTCTTTTTTTTACTTGCAAAAAATCGTGTTAAGCGCATTCTCCTACCGGGAATTTCAACCACTGAAGGCCAGCCATTTCCCGTGCTCACGTTCCTGACTAAGACATCTTCTTATTTCCTAATGTACAGAATAAAGCACATTCGGTTCTTACATCAAAGAGACAGATTTTTTGGGAACTACGATCTCGTTGTTTTTAATTGTCTAGATGGGCACGACTAGTCATCCTTCTGTTGATTCTCTTACCAATGATAATGGTGACCATCTAGAAATATTCAGTCTCATTTGGCTTGACACGAACGTTCACGCCGAAGCAAATCAACATATGCAGCAAAGACTGCTTCTCATTAATAATTGTCTCAAGACATTTCATGATGGAGAACAGTGTAAACAATACATTGAACAAAGACCAAAACATGATCGACTAGTGCTTATTGTTAGCGGTCAGTTGGCTCGAAAAGTAGTACCTTCTATTCATCAGCTTCGACAACTGTCAGCAATTTATATTAGTTCCACAAATAAGGAAAATGATGAACAGTGGGCGCATGATTTCATCAAGGTAGGAGCTGTTCTGACATTTTTCAGTCTTTTTGTACCGGTAGTTTAGGTGAAGGCGATTGTTACTGAATCGGAAGAATTGGTTTCTAAAATTAAAACAAATCATCAGAATCAAAGGAAGATTGAAGAACCATTGTTGATCAATATGTTTACTACCAGTGCCCAAGCAGCGAAGTCTACGACAGGAATCAATGGTCAATTCGTTTTTTCCCAATTACTTATCGATTGTTTCCTTCGATTGAAATCCAATGAGATGGACAGAAAGGAACTCATTTCTTGTTTTGAAAATGAATATAAAGGCAACCACGTCGAACTCGCCAAGTTGCGTGAATTTCGAAAGGAATACACATCAGACAAGGTTTTATGGTGGTACACTCGTGATTCGTTCTTCTACAAGACTCTGAATGCGGCTCTACGCAGGCGAGATATTCATTTGATTTTCTTATATCGTTCATACATTGTCGACATATATCGTCAATTAAAGCAGTATCAATCTAAGGACTCTGTTCGAGTTTATCGCAGCCAGTTAATGTCAACCGATGAATTAGATTGTCTTAAACAAAATATTGGTAAATTCATTTCTGTAAATTCATTTCTTTCCACCACGAAGCATCGTCAAATAGCTGATTTATATATCCCCGATAGGAGCTACCATAAAAATTTAGAACAAGTTCTATTTGAGATCGATGCTGATCCCGAGGTAGTGTCGACGAAACCATTTGCTGAC